TCCCCCCCCGCAACAGGGAAAGCTCCCCCCCCCCCCCCGCCCCAGAAGCGCGGCTCTGCGGCCGCCTCCTCTCTCGCCCTTTAAGGAATCGTCCCGAGCGAGGGGCGTCGCAGAGGAGGATCCCGCTCTCTCCCAGGCCGGCTTGGGCGAAAGGAGCGGCGCCGACGCTCGCTCCCCCTTCTGGGGAAGGCCGGGGAGGAGGCGAAGATGGCGGCGACGGCTGCAGCCGCGGCGACCGCCTCAGAACAGGTCGGTACCAGCGCCGGCCCTCGGTCTCCCGGCGGGGCCTGGGCGGCGGCGGGCGCTTCGTTCGCGTTCCCGAATGCTCCAGGGAGGGGAAAGGAAGGCGAGGCCGCCCCGGCTTAACGGCCGCCTCGCAAGACCGTTGGGCAGCGCCGTTTCTAGGGGGGCGCCGCCCTCAGGCAGCCAGCAGCTCAGGGGTGGCGGGCGGGCCCCACACCACAACACACAGCTGGAGCTGGTGGTGGCCCACCCTTTTCGGACGACGGGTGGGGTGTTCCGCCGCTAGCTACGCGGTTTCCTTTAGATAAGCGCCCCCCCCTTCAATAAGCTCCGGTGCCCAGCGCGTCTGCTGGGACAGGCTTGGATCTCAGGGCAGCCTGTGACTGCTTGCTCCAGTGTTCCCTCTAAGCTGAGTGAGTGTGAGCCAGCTCACAGTTTTTTAGCCTCTGGCTCACACATTTTTGTCTCCGCTCAGGAAGGCTGGCTCCAGAGCAAACTGATTGATGCAGCAGCCACATCGTTTGCTCACACAACTTCGATGCCAGCTGCTCACAAAGTAGGATTTTTGCTCACAAGACTCCACAGCTTAGAGGGAACACAGACTGCTAACCCTGGCGCCGGAGCGAAAATAGCGGCCTGGACAGAGGCACGCATAAAGTTGTAAATGTGGCTTCCCACCCCTAGGGGGCCCGATCCGTACGTGGCCCTCCTGGTCCTAGCTCTGGCTCGAGAAAGGGGCCTGCCCCCCCCCCCAGCGATGCCAGCTGCTCACAAAGTAGGATTTTTGCTCACAAGACTCCACAGCTTAGAGGGAACACAGACTGCTAACCCTGGCGCCGGAGCGAAAATAGCGGCCTGGACAGAGGCACGCATAAAGTTGTAAATGTGGCTTCCCGCCCCTGGGGGCCCGATCCGCACGTGGGCCGCCCGGTCCTAGCTCTGGCTAGAGAAAGGGGCCTGCCTTCCCCCAGGGATGCCAGCCTCCAGGAGGGACCTGGGGATCCCCTGGAATTAGGGCTCATCTCCAGACTACAGAGATCAGTCCCCCTGGAGAAAATGGAAGCTTTGGAGGGTGGACTCTCTGGCATTGCACCCCACTGGAGTCCCTGCCCTCCCCAGGCTCCACCCCCAAATCTCCAGGAGGTTCCCAACCTGGATCTGGCAACCCTACCCGTTATCCCCTGCTGGTAGCCAGGGGGGACCTGGCAACCCTACCCCACCCACATACTGTCATATGCTTGGAAAGGGGTAGTGGCCATGCGAATTTTGTCTGTTAGACCTTATGTAGGGATTTTGCCAATAAAAGTCCGCATGGTCAAAGCAATGGTATTCCCAGTAGTCATGTATGGCTGCGAGAGTGCCAAAGAATAGATTCTTTTGAACTATGGTGCTGGAGAAGACTCTTGACTGCAAGAAGATCAAATCAGTCAATCCTAAAAGAAATTAACCCTGACTGTTCCCTGGAAGGCCAGATAATGAAACTGAAGCTCAAATACTTTGGCCACCAAATGAGAAGGGAGCACTCCCTGGAGAAGACCCTGATGCTCGGAAAGATTGAAGGTCAAAGAAGACGGGGACAGCAAAGGATGAGATGGTTAGACAGTGTCATAGATGCAACGAACATGAAATTGAGCAAACTTCAGAGGACAGCGGAAGACAGGAAGGCCTGGCGTGATCTGGTCCACGGGGTCGCGAAGAGTCGGACTCGACTGTGCGACTGAACAACAACAAAAGGGATTTTGAGAAGATGGGTGGCCTAATAGAGCGCCTTTGTAGAGCTGTGCAAAGATGAGTTGTGTAAGGGTTTTATTTCACGGAGGTACCTACATCTATTCTTGACTTCAGGCATGCCTCCTGTTTCCTAAAGCACATTCAGTTCAGAGCATCCAAAAACAGCCAAGAACTGGGTTGCTGCAGCTTTTGAAATACATTGAAACGCATAGTGAAATATTTAATTTTGAAAAATAGAGACTTAGCAATGTCCAGTGTGTTTTAAAATCAGGAACATGAGTTATACAAAAGTCCAGTAGTGCCTTAAAAGATTTTTTTAAAAATTATTTCAGCATGAGTGTTGGAGAGTCTGAACTTAAGCCCTCAGAGGCGCACAAAAGTATACATCCATTAGGCCTGGTTCAGTGCCCAGCAGAAGGGAGGGTGTAACAAAGACAGACCCATATAAAGCAAGTTCCAAATCAAACGAGAAATCCCTTCACCCAAAGTAGGTGTAAGGCACTCCCAATCTACAGCAACAGATTTAAACATCAAACTGAATGCAGGATGAAATGAGGTAGTGGAACGTGTTAACGTGTATGTGAGGGGTGTCGTGGTTGAGATATTAGCACCCATAGTGAGTTAGGAATCCAAGGTTTTCCTGGTTTCCAAGTTTCCTTTGGATTCTTCACATGGTTTCTGTGTTTGGATTTTGCTATGGAACAACCTGGCTACCTCCAATTTTTTAATTTCTGTAGGTACTAATAACACACATCCCAAGGCTTACAGATTTTTTCCCTACTTGTTGGGCTTTGAATAGTTAACTATGAATGTCATTATTTTATTATGCACTTAATATTGGACTTATTATTTGGCTGACATTTTAGCAAAGCTCTAATGGCCCTGTGAAGAAGTCCATGCGCGAGAAGGCCGTGGAGCGGAGGTGTGTTAACAAAGAACATAATAGCAACTTCAAGGCTGGATATATTCCCATTGATGAAGATCGGCTGCACAAAACTGGCTTACGGGGCCGAAAAGGCAACTTGGCTATTTGTGTGATCCTCCTCCTCTTTATTTTGGCTGTTATCAATTTGATTGTGAGTATGATAGGCTGAGGCATTTTGCTACTATTGGTATTGTTCAATTACTGGTTATTGACTAGAGAGTACAAATATATTTGCAATGGTGGAGTCCGTTCATTTAAATAGGGCCTAATCAAATGGAAGCGGGAATCAAAGCCAAATTTTTGTTCTGCGTATATTGTTCTAACATTGGGGGGGGGAGAGTTTGGTTTAAAAGAAAGGTTAAAACATCACTTGTGTTCCAAAAAAAACATAGACATAGTAATTTTAAACCCATCTCCTTAAATTGCATGTCATGTAAAGAGTGTAGTCTGAATATGATAGTTTATAATTTAGGCTCCAAGCAGCTACGCATTCCCTTGCTCCCCCCCCCATTGGCATTGTTATTACAGTTCATCCATTCCTTCAAATAGACATGCCCCACTAACTGCCATTATCTTTGACATGGATTCAAACTCTTGCATTGCATTCTATGTATATATGACCCCGTTGAACTGAATATTTGTATAGTGTGTTCACTGTTGCACCTCCATTTGCAAAGGAAGAGAACATGGGCTACAAAGGGAATATGTTGCTGCATAGAGCCTATATTATAAGGAAGCATATTCCAGAGGTAAAATCGAGTGCTGTTGCATTGGGACTAATGATATGGTGGGCCCACCAATGCTCTTTATGTGCGTGCATGCTTGCTTGCTTGCTTCCTGCTCAGCCTGTACATTTAGAAGGCACTGTAAGTCTCCAGTGTTCTGTCGTCTGAAACATTCTGTAAAAAGATTATCCTAGAGCTTTGCACTACTCAGGCAAGATAATATATAATCAGTATAAACATGGGTTATGGTTAGTAACCCTGACCTGGATAGCCAGGCTAGCCTGATCTGGATCTCAGAAGCTAAGCAGGGAGACCTCCAAGGAACGCCAGGGCTGTGACGCGGAGGCAGGCAACAGCAAACCACCTCTGAACGTCTCTTGCCTTGAAAACCCCATGGGGTCGCCATGTCAGCTGTGGCTTGATGGCACTTTCCCCCACCCACCACCAGTGGATAATAATCACAATCACATGGTTATTCAAAGTCTACCACACTTCTTTGTTGTTAAGCACCGTGCAAGCTTATTTCCTCTGACCATGTCAGCCACTGGCTTGGGCAGTATCAGCTACATGATAATGCTTACCAGTTTGGGATCATTGTCCACTGTAAGCCTGCCTCCTTGCGACAGTAAACCATTTTTTACTTATAGAGCTAAACACTTCTTGAAATAAACACACTGCAAGATCTCAGGCCAGTTAGGTAATTGGGACATTCAGCTGCTAATAAATTCTGTGATATTTCATAACAAGTAATTGTGAGTTCACAATTAAAATCTACCTTTTCTTCACTGTATGCATCCCTCTATTTAGTTTGGTGTAGTGGTTAAGTGCGCAGACTATAATCTGTGAGAACTGCTCCACTTGCACCTGCTGGATGACCTTAGGCAAGCCATAGTTCTGATAAGAGCTGTTCTTGAAAAAGAGCAGTTTCTGTCAAGAGCTCTCTCAGCCCCGCCTACCTCACAGGGTGTCTGTTGTGGGGAGGGGAAGGGAAAGGAGATTGTAAGCCACTCTGAGACTCCTTTGGGTAGTGAAGGGCAGGGTATAAATCCAATCTCTTCTCTTCTTCTCTACTCATGTGCCTACTACTAGCGCACCTTCCTCTATACTCCCTCACATCATGACTCCTGCATCTGCTGCCTGTGCCCACCATTCATGTGCCTGCCCCCTCATAGGCAGTGGAAGTTGTGGGCCCCAGCAGCTGCCCCACATCAGAGGACGCTGATGCTGGCCCTGGCTACTAGGCTAAAGTCAGCTTGGTGGGTTACAAGTTTTGTGGTTCCATTCTAGGTACACAGAGTTCTTCTTAAAGGTACCGAGTTCAAGCAGTGGCATTATCAGAAGTCTGAAATGACATTTGGCTTTTGCCTTTTTAGATCACGCTCATCATCTGGGCTGTGATTCGTATCGGGCCCAGTGGCTGCGACAGCATGGAGTTTCATGAGAGTGGCTTACTGCGATTTAAACAAGACTCTGACATGGGAATTATACATCCGTTGTATAAGAGCACAGTGGGTGGCCGGCGTAACGAAGATTTGGTGATTGTTGGAGAGAACCAGCCAGTAAGGGTTTTTTTTAATTATCCAAAAGGTGCATGCAGGAAACTGCAGTGCCTTCAGTTATCTTAAAAGTAGTAAATTGCCTTTATTGTATTTAACACCTTTTACCTAACTTGTTTCTGAAGATTGTGTTTCAGCAAGGGGAAACAAAACTCAGCGTTGAAACGGATAAAACTTTAATTACCAGTGATATCGGTATGGAATTTGTTGACCCACGGACACAGAACACGTTGTTCAGCACAGACTACAATACTCATGAATTTCATCTGCCAAGTGGAGTGAAAACATTGAATGTCCAAAGAGCATCTACAGAGAGGGTATGGGATGTCCTTATTGAATGGTTTACTTCCTTCTGCAGTGTCCATAGTGTTGCTATAGTTTTGAACTTGCTACGCTCTTTACATTATGGCTGGGTTCTGTCAGGTACCATATGGTTCACTTGCTGTTTGTCTACATATTCTTCATGCAGCAGAATAGCAACTTGAGATGTGCTTGCATACAATAGATGAACCATCATTTCCTAAGCAGATGGTCCCCTCACTCATCCCCGTGAATGAGATCTGTGACATGTTTATCTTGCCTCTCCTGCAAGGAAGTGGGGCATTCCACTGCCGGGTTCTCCTGCATGTGTGAACCAAGCCTTGTGTTCTAGTAAACATGATTAGAATGGCAGCCTCTGTCAGTTACAAATATAACAATAGCACTCTGTTCTGGTCCAGCTGTTGACCAGTGGGTTTGGGGTTTGTTTTTTTTTGGAAAGCTGCTACTATGTTTAGTAACCATATTGTGGTCTTTCTTCTCAGATTACCAGTAATGCTACCAGTGATCTAAATATAAAGACTGATGAGCGTGCAGTCGTCCGTGGAAATGAAGGCGTCTTTATTATGGGCAAAACCATCGAGTTTAACATGGGAGGCAACCTGGAACTCAGGGCAGTGAGTAATTCTTTTGAGGCTTGCGGTTGGTCTACATGAGTTTTATTTAGAGCATTTATATCGTGCCTCTCCAAAACTTGAGGCCTGTAGCTAAAGTTTAAACAGTAACCAGAGCAAAATGCCGCTGCCGCCCCAGCAGCAGAGCAAGAACATGAAAAAAGATTGGTGGCCAAAAAGTTCTTTGGAGCAGGGATTTTACATTTCCTTCGAAAGACTGAAAAAAGGAACCGCTCCAGACAAGGAGGTCTTTTTCACATCTGTGGAGCAGTTTCAGTAAAGACCCTGTTTCTTGCTGCGGGTGTCATTGCAATACTGTGTGTAGAAACGTTGTTGAAGTTGGGCTACATTAGAATTCTGACACGGGGTGGTGGGCATGACCCCAAAACAGCCACCGAAGGAGGCAGAGCCAGCCACCACCACCAAGGAAGCCCAAATGTGGGGACAAGAGGAGTAAATATCGAAAATACAGTGGGAAAAAGGAGTCAGAAACAGAATAAAACCAACCCTGTAGTGGCAGCTGTCTGCAGTGTTCCCTCTAAGCCGAGTTAGTGTGAGCCAGCTCACAGTTTTTTAGCCTCCGGCTCACACATTTTTGGTCTTCGTTCAGGAAGGAGGGCTCCAGAGCCAAACTAATTTATGCAGGAGCCAAATCGCTGGCTCACAACTTCGATGCCAGTCGCTCACAAAGTAGAATTTTTGCTCACAAGACTCCACACCTTAGAGGGAACATTGGATGTCTGCCTAGCCAATCAGATCTCCAGTGGGTAATCAGAAGCCCTACTGGCCAAGAGTCCACCTGGCCCCCCCACCCTCTTTCTAAAAATACTTGGTGGACACCAGGAAAGGTATTGGCAGACACCATGGCACCCCCTGGCGCACCATGTTGGGGACTCCTGAGCTAAATTATTTTAAATTATAACATAAGTGACTTGATAGATGCATTTCCCCCCCCCTTCAGGAACTTGATCCTAAACCGTGCCACTGAGGATAGGTTCTAGCACTGGTGTTACTTTCTCCTCTTGTGTTGGGAGCCAGCGTAACCCACTACTGCAGGAGGAGTCAGTGCTGCTGTGGCAAAGAGTACAGGAGAGCAGTGCAATCTATAGTACAGGAGAGCAGTGCAATCAGCTGCCACACAGAAAGGCTTGCAGGGAAGAGAGAGCATCTGTAACCTTACTGTAGGTTGCTGCGGCTAAAGATGTAACCCCTCCGATCTATAGTACAGGAGAGCAGTGCAATCAGCCGCCACACAGAAAGGCTTACAGGGAAGAGGGAGCATCCGTAACCTTACTGTAGGTTGCTGTGGCTAAAGATGTAACCTCCCCGGAAATTTTGAAGCCATGGAAAATAATGTCTCTGGAATCTTTTTAAACAGACATTTTGGAGGGGAACTGAAATATATGCCATTCTTGTTTTCTTATCAAACTTATTTATTTCACTGCTCTAATAACATAATATGCATACTTTATAACTCAGCATATTAACATTGAGCTGACAGATTCATGGAATTTAAAATGATACGTGCCTTTGTTTTCTACAAGTTAAAGTGTGAATGTATCCAGTACTTGATAGAGAGCGGAAAACTGCTGCACCCCTTGCTGTCTTTTCATGTGTATGTTAGTTTTTGCAATGTGAGAGGTTTAAAAAAAAAAGAATTTAAAAACACAACAAATGTTGTAATAAGCAAAATAATGTACTTGGACAGAAACAGTCTCATGCAGTCACACTACAGGTCAAAACTAGATGATGTTTTGCCATAAGTTAGGCTGGGGTTCCAGCACACAATAATGCAGGAGACAATTTCATAGGAGGTTGTTTTTTTGTTTTTGTTTTTTGTCAGTGCTCCCCCATTTTCCATTAGAAAAATTGAAAGTCTTCCAGATAACTGTTTTCTTTTCCCCCCAAGGCCTTCACATTCCTAGTCGTTGGAACAAATATGAGCAAACTGAGCAAGGAGGCAGCAGGGACTGATGGGAGGATATGATACAGGTGTATAAAACGATGCAAGGGGTAGAGAGAGTGGACTAGTTCACTCACAGAGTCGCAGCTTGGAAAAGGCATTTAAAGGGATCATGAGCCCTTTAAACAACTTTTTTCTTCATTGAAAACAGTGGAGAATGGGGCACCTTCTTTGGGGGCCCATAGAATTGGACCCCCCCGGTCCAATCTTTTTGAAACTTGGGGGGTGTTTTGAAGAGAGGCACCAGCAGCTATGCTGCAAATGTGGTGTCTCTGCCTCAAAAAAACCCCACCCAGATATCCCCAGATCGATTGTCCATTATACTGTATGGGGACCATTGACTGTAATGGTCCCCATAGGGTACAATGGAGCCCCCAAAAATGGAAATCCCAAATATTTACCAAATCTGAATACCGTACCGCTATTGGGTTTCAGGAATATAGGGAAATACCGATATTTTTCAGGTTCAATATACCCGAACCCCAAAAATACTGGGGGGGTTTTGCACACGAGCCGTGGTGACTAAAAGGAACCTCCATGTCCACAGGCAGTAAACCTCTGAATACCAGCGCCAGGAAGGCCTTGGCCTCTATACCTTGTCGTTGGACCTCCAAAATAACTAGTTGGCCAATGTGTGAGATGAGATACGACTGCCAAGTTATTCTTATGGAGAACAGTTTAATAACGGCGACTGGGAGCGCTACAAGCTTTGCATGTGTTTGGATGGGACTCTATTCCGTGTTCCAGTGAAGAGCCGCAACATGGGTTGTCAAACTTCAGTTAATCCATGTGGTAATACGTATTAAATGCGAAGCCAGAACATGACTGAAAGACATTTGTATTTATTGAGTTGGATTCTTCCAGTTTTTCCATTTATACAAGGGGAAGGAAGGGCTACTTTTGTCCCCTGAAAAGGTTTTGCTTGGAATCATGGGACATAGGATCAGTATCAGATTAGACCACACTTCTTGTGCCGGTGGAAAAGCTGATAGGAGCCAACCCAGTGTTTAAAGAGTTGCATGTTTGTAAGGATTTCTCTTTTTTACAGCCGTTTATAGTGGTATTATTTGAACTTTATAATGCAAGATACTGCATTCAACATTATTAGATCATGTCAGTCAACTTGTTCAAGTAGGCTACTTATGCTAAACTTAACTGCATTTCAGTAAGATACCGTAGGGAGGCACAAGCCAGGGGCGCTTTTTTATATTGCTGAATTGCTTTGAAATTGTCATCAAAGGCTTTATGATACAAGAAACAAGATGAACTTTTGCATAGTTCCTTACCTTTGCCAACTTCTGTTTTTCCCAAATGCTCCATCAGAAGAGAGAATCTGACTGCTCTGTCCTTTGGTCCCAAATGCATTCAGGCATCTTTTGCAGTTCTTTTGCAGTTCTGCATGCACTGCATTCTGAAGATAACCAACTGTGCCCATACCATACTGAATGTAATAGGCTCAAGTATTTAAAGAAATTCTGCCTCTTTGGCAGCCTATTTTGCCTTAGGTTCTCTTCCTGTTATAGGCAGGGGCACCTCCTTCCTTCAGCATTAACACCCTTTACAAAAGTGTAAATTAATGGCTATGTAATAAAGGATACAAAAATGAATGCTATTTATATTAAAATCTAGATGGGTAACTGTGTTAGTCTGTCTGTAGCAGTAGAAAAGAGCAAGAGTCCAGTCGCACCTTAAAGACTAACAACATATGGGGCAGGGAATGACCTATTGTGAGTCACTGCTCACCTCTTCAGATAAAATCTAGTTTGTCTAAATTTTGTTACTTTTATCTGAATTTATTTCTGTATAAACAGACTGGTGTATTATTTTGGCAAATATTCTTTGTTTAGAAGACAGTGTTTAGGGGGGTATTACAGCTTCCTGTCTGCACCCCTACTTGTTTTAACACAGACCCTTCCGTGAGCTCGTTCTGTGGGGGTGGAGCATAATCTGTAGTGGGTACCTTCAGGAGCAAGGACTTCTGACCAGCTGGGTGCCATAAATCCTTGTGTCTTCTCCTGGGAATTTTCCCATATTTTGGCTTTCAAATTAACTACGTAAACCAACTTTTCAATCTGTTTTCAGTGAGTCTCACTGCTAATAACAGAAATTTGCATTGTTAATAAATGTATCCTTGCAGAGGAAAATAATTTTTTTCTAAAGAGTATGATCCAGGGTCAGCTGCTCTATCCAGTACCCTGAATTTATTCCTAATCAGCTGCCCATCCATGTCCCATGCGCAAAAAGCTTCTATTATTAGGGATGTGGATAGTTCCCCCCCCCATTTTGTTTGCATAAACATTGTTTTGTTGGTAATTCTGTTTTTGTTATTGCTGTAATGTTTGCTTCCATTGATTTCAGTGAGAAATATTAATAGCGCCATTTTGTTTTCCGTCTAATTTGTATGTATGACCTCAAAGGAATCTTGCCTCCCAAATTTCAGACAGATAAGAGACAGTTGTTTTATAGGCAATTAAAAGTAAAATCCATGCCAGAAATAAAATCTGTATTGAATTGAATCCTTCCTGTATGTCTACTTCATCTCTAACCATACAAGCCAGAAATAAAATACTTTACTTTTGCTGATTGACTCTGTATATTTCAAGATAACTAGCTAAGCAGTGGTCTAGATGCTACAGTGTCTAATTTTTAGATTAATTCAGCTTTATTTTAATTGCCTATAAAACCACAATGTGTGTGAATTGCCGTCTAGTCACTTACCCTATGAATGAATGACTTCCAAAATGTCAGGTCTTGAAAACTGAGGGCCATGACTTCCTTTACTGAGTCAATCCATCTCATGTCGGGTTAGGGTTGCTAGGTCCCCCCGTCACCTGTGGGGGATGAGGGGGGCAGGGTTGCCAGATCCAGGTTGGGAAACTCCTGAATAGTTGGGGAAGGAGCCTGGGGAGGCCAGTGTCCTCTGTGGGGTACAATGCCATGGAGTCTGCCCTCCAAAGCATCCATTTTCTCCAGGGGAACTGATCTCTGTCGTCTGGAACTGATCTCTGTAGTCTGTAATTACAGGGGATCCCCTGTCCCACCTGGAGGCTGGCATCCCTATGCCGGGTCTTCCTATACTGTCTCTTATCTTGCAAAATGTAATAGGCAGAATAATTGAAATTGTACCTATGTTATGGTGGGGGGGAAATAGAGATCCCCAAAATTTTATGACTGTTCTATAAACTGGTGAGAGAAACGTGGTGTTTTATATCGTTTTTGCCTGCAACTGCTAGAAATGCAAATTTATTATTTGCAGTTTATGTACTTCATAACCGATGTAGAAGACATATTGGGGTTAATTTCAATATAGGTTGTATATGCTCAGATATTATGCTGCTTTGGCAGAGAAGTGACACTGTCGTGATACAATATCGCTTTGTCACTTTCAATTTAAAAAGAGAGAGAAGCAATAATTTAATGTGCTATTTATATATTTAAATAACTAGCTCTCAAAATGTGGGTAACAGTGACCTCCTTGAGGACTGTTATAAAGGTTACTGTATTAATATATGTGAAGTGTTTTGACCACTTGAAAAGTACTGTATAAATGCTATTATTGGTGTAGCCTCAAATGCAGACTGGGGCCTATGAGGACAGGGTGCATAGTACATAAATGGACCCATGAAAATTAACGTGCTAAACATGTACTAGAGCTTGTTATGTTTGCCTGCGTAGGCCGTGGTTTCAGGGTACCTGTAGCTTACAGCCACTAATTTAGATGTACTGGAACAGGGGAAGATACAAAAACATGGAAGGAATAAGAACTGCAACAAAATCATATCAACATACTGAAATGTTCAGAGAACTCAGTCTTGAAGCTTTCAGGTGTGAAACATAGGTTGGTAAGGGAGCCCTGTATCCTAATGTCCATTCATAATTACATAGCAGGCTGACTCAGTTTTCCGGTGAGGCATTTAGCCTTTTGACACTATATAGTAATACCTTTCTCTCCTTTATGGCGTTGCCCTCTAGAGGACCCGTCTATTGATAGTGAAATGCTGAAATGAAAACTGTATCAATACTGTAGGTGAATGGATGACATAAGCAATTAGGTGTTTCACACTGACCCAGAGTATTTGGATTTCATGTTAGAGGTTTACCTGAAAATATATATATATTATTTTGCTCTACTAGCTGAAAGCCTTTCTTCAGTTGACAGTGCTGCATGTTTATCCTGCTCTCCCTCTAAGGAGCTCAAAGAATGCTGTACAAAGGCCTCCCTTCATCCATTTTCTCCTCCCAACAACCCTGTGAGGTAGGTTAGGATGAGAATGAGGGAGTGGCCCAAGGTCATCCAGTGAGCTACACTGCAGTGTTGGAACTCTGTTCCTAGTCCAAGACTATAAATAACTACATCGCTCTAGCTGTAGCTTTAGTCAGTGAACTGGCTCGCATTTGGCAATACACAGTTTCAGTATAGACAATTGTTAATAGCATAATTATCCAGGCTAGGATCCAAAGATCCCATGCACAAACCCAAAGCCCTTGTGCAAGAATGTGGAATTTTACTTCTAAGTGGAGGGGAGTAGATCAGATATTACACCAGCAAATCCCTTCATGGGCACTTGTACATATAAACCGTTAATTTGAAAATACACCTCATGACCCAAGAAACAAAATATTTACAGTAGCAGGATTTGGCACTAGTTAAGCCAGTTAATTTTTCACCTATTAATCCAACCAAGCAAGCAATAGCTGTACCTATTAAGAGTGTTGCCCTAAGTACAATCAGATGACTGACAATACCAAAACAAATGCCGTCCATATTTCTTTACAGTGGTGCTTTTATCTGCATGTTTGTAACTAAGCGGCGTTCATTTTTTACAATATAAAAGTTGCATTCTCTGTTTTAACAAGCTGTGCTGCTCGTATGGGTACGGGAGTTTCATTTAATAAAATTGCTTTTTAAATTCATTTGCGTACTGTGTAACAAACTGTGTGCATCGACAAGCTGGATTTCTAACACTAGAAAGAAGGTTCCGTTGTACAGACTTGTGAAACTTTGCTTCAGAATAAACTATATTAAACAAGTCCCCTTTCAAATGAAGTGTTTTGTTACAAAAATGACTCCAGAATCATGCATGATTAGTGGTATGAGCCTAGACACCCCCAGTTCAAAGGGGACTTGTGCCATTCATTCCCTGTCTAGGTTTAGGCAAGCCTCAGGCCCCCACCAGCTAGTTTTGCAGGACTGCACAAGGCTTTCCAGGAATTTATGTGAAGTATCTTTGAACATCTGTGGTAGAGAAACAGGGCTCTCTGACAAGATGTCACATGGGTATAACCACCACCACTGGGCACTTGATAGCTCCTGACTCCCACTGCAACCCAAAATGCTTTTGCCTGGCATCAGTGAGGAAGGTGCGCTCTGCAGGCAGAAATCCTTCTGGCCATGGAAAAAGCACTGGCGTTTCCAAGACACAGATTTCATAGTTAAAAAGTCTGTGCTAAACTGTGCTAAGCAACTATTTAGAAGCCACAATTTGGCCCACTATTAAGCCAATCCAATTTATTTTCTGTTAACTTGGTAGTATGGTCATTTTGTAATAAGAACACAAGTCAAAGATTACACTTAACGTTCCAGTTGCTCTTTACAGAAGGAAGAAAATGGTCAAAAAAAGCTTGAGCTCTCTTCTAGCAGACCAACACAAGATCATTCTGAATAGAGCAAGTCTACAAATAAGGATGAGCTCCAATTATGTAGTTTGATTTCATTGCTTGAGAGACTAATCCAAGTATATGCAGAAAACTTGCCAGACCTTTTCTTACTTCAGCCAATATTTCCAATACTTACATAGTTGAGGAACTATTGCTGCAGTGACTAGACACCTGGTACCTGAATCTTTTAATAGTTCTCCTGCCTAGCCAAAAACAAAACAGGAAGGAGAGTTTGATTATGCCAAATGCTCATGGTGCCTGTAGGTACTGTTCTTTTTCTGTGTACCAACCATTCTCTGCCATAGAACATCTTACATGAAATTATCAGTGGCCTATTTTACAAATTAAAATTATGTGCAAGAACTGGGAGAAACTCCATGGCCACCAACACTAAAACAGGATCACTATTCACTCTTACAATCAAATTGTGGCAGGGTCCTTCTACTGGGGAAACTGGGCAATACAATTTTGTTTGGCATCTGCTGTCATTTTATTAGTGAACCCCAGAGAAAGGAACATTGGAGACTTCACGGTGAAAGTTTTCTACTCTGAGGCAGGGAGGGTGCCTTAATATGGGTGACCCCCATCAATTAGTCAAGAAGAGACCCCCTGGAAATAGGGGATTCGAGCGGGATATAAAGTCGAAAGTTAAATTAAAAAAAAGGGCAAGACTTGGATATTTCCTGTTTTCAGTATACATGCCCACATTATCAACGCCTTGACAAATACTGAAGAAGTGGCTGAGGCCCTGGGTTGGAAGGGCTGAGGGCTCCCACGATGTGCAAAGGCAAATTCTGACTTACAATCTGCTTGTTCTTTCAGACTGGTTCCACCATAGTGTGATACAAGGTTCTCCGAGATAAGCTCTGCAATGGGCACATCTACCAGTGGTACCTACAACTCTGAGAATATAGGTAGAATATAAAATGTGGGGGCATTTAAGAGGTAGTGCCTGTTTGAAAGGAGGGAGCACTCATTTGTCTTTCAAAGAAGTCTGGAAGTAGACTACCCTTTCAATTTCTGGAAGCCTTGGAATAAATTCTTTGTTGCCCTTGGGGACTATTTAATCAGATAACTCTAGGGCTGAAACAGCTCTATCCAGCATAAATCAGTAGTCATCTGGACTGAAGGAGTGGGAGGCTGTGGTTCAACCATTTCCTCTTCTGAAAATTCCCAATCCTCTTTTTCTGATGGGGCTTCAAACACCTCAGATATTAAGCTTCGTGAATCCAAAATTTCCCACCTGAATCTCAGTAGAGGCAAATGATTACACGTCATCTTCACAAACTCTATAGTGCCTGTTTATAGCCATAAAATAATAATTCACCATGACATCAGTCACAAAATCCCTTGTACTAAAACCTTTAGCCCCTGCTAGTAGATTACTCTAAATTCACCATTTGGTAACTTAAACCACCAAAAAAACCCCAAGCTGGTTGTTCATAAGAATGGTATATTTATATTACACAATAGCAAGGGAGCCATGTATCTTGCTAACATTATTACATATTCATACAAAGTGGGATCTAAAGGAATCGTCTGCATCTTACCCATGGGTATGTTATGTTAAATGAATCTTGAAGACAGCAGACAATGTTTACTTTTAAAAGCTACAGCTTTCCATTACAAGATTAGAAAGGAGGATGGTGAGAGCCACAGAAATCAATTTCTGAAACCAAAACACAAATACTGTTTATTTGTGGGATATCAGTTTTACACAGAAGACTGCAGTCTATACCAAGGTCAGATTAAGGTGGCATAACAGTACTTCAGTCAGGTTGAGCCACAGGACTTCAAGCACACCTGAAGTTGCAATATGGAAATACCAAAGACATTTTAAAAAAGCAGGTCACAGCCATCAGGTTAACTGCTGTTTCTACAACAGCAACATGTCACAGCTGAAATTGTAATACAACCCACATTTTGCCTGAAATTACCAAGTTGAAGTTGGTAAATGAGTTCTATTCAGTTGCACAACAATGTGAAAGGACAGTCTAAGGCTCTCAAGAGGTATTTAGTAGTTGTAGTTAACATAGCCACAGAACAAATCCTTACAGCTTTATAGTATTTAAGTAGTGTTAGATCCATGTCTAGGGACAAGATAAATGCAAGTAAGTTTATACATTCAAGTACCTGAAAAGGAGGGAGGGGTGTTTTCACCAACGTTTGCTAAGGAGAAGCCCATGACATATAATTTCTGAAAATTTTAAGTTGTTTAACTTACGTGTGCTAAGTACACAATAGACACCAAAACAGATTTTATGGTATATTTATATCCTTGGAAGCAATAGACACCAAAACAGATTTTATGGTATGTTTATATCCTTTTTGCTTTGGGGCAACATTTTCCCAGTTTAGTTTCCATAAGCTACATTAACCATGTCTTCAACTTCAGTAGTAGATTTCAGTCTGGATAGTTTCACAAGGATGTGCTGTTGTATTGTCCTGAATCCAATTTTTAATTCTAAAAATCAGTTAAAGGTGTAACAAGGTTTAATCTATCAGTCTTTGGTATTACTTAAGAATGCTATGTGACAGGTTTTTTTAGTCTGATTTTTCTAGTGATCGGCTTCTCAAATATCAGTTGTGCGCTAGATCTTTTAAGTGACATTAACCATTTATTTGAAATGAGAATAGTTCATAAACATCTTGCCAGAAGGACTTGTAGAAAAGGCAAGGACAAACAATTAATTGAACTATGACAATTTCTTTTAAAAGAAACCCTTAAAACACGACCCTATTTAGAGAATTCCAATGCATTAAAATTTTTTAGGAAATTGACTGAAATTTGCTATTTACCCAGAACACATTGCCCGTGAAAGGGAAAAATTTTGAATCTTCAGCAGAGCACTTTCAGCCAACAGAAAAGTGAACAGAGTCAATAACTGGGTTGATTTAAAAACGCATGCCTTTCTGAACAACACAGACAGAAGACACGTGACAAGAGTGTTGACGATACTGTCAGTACTTCTCGTTAGACTCCACCATTTCTCCTATATACACATTTTTTAAAAAGTAGTGAAAACTGTGCATCAATTCAGAAGACCACTTCAGATCTTCCTCTCCTTGGCAAAATCAAGCGTCAACTTTGCTTTCTATTTGGATAGTTATACAAAATGCATAATCTTCTCGTTAAATTTTGACAGGATCCTACACACAGAGGACTTTTTACGAAGTTCCACTTCACAATGAGCACACGCTTGTGTTCCATATTTCAATATCCATTGCAAAGTACAGAACACCAAGCAAGAATTGGCTAGTCACGATTTTGTTAACTTTTGTGCTGACCTTCATTATCACATTAACTTTCTTTGGCTGCTGCCTCCACTACTGAACGCTAGTTTTATTTATTCAACATAGTTTGGGGGAAAAGCAAACCTTTTGTCTCTCATGTTACTTCACCATTATTTCTTCAAATGCTATACATACTGTAGGTCTTAAAACCAGAAGTTATCAGGTACTTATATACATTCCGCCTTGTAGAAATATCATACCTGTTGAACATGTAGTATCTATTTTTGTATTTGCTTTTATATAAAAAGCAAGATGTACCAGAATAAGGTATAGTAGCAGAACACATCCTGACATTCTTAACTCTCATCTATACCACCATTCTTTTTCAAGAATGTAGTTTTCTGTAGTCCAAACACCACTGAATGAACCACAGCTGGGATCCAAAGGTTGTTCAGTCTCCCTTTCCAATGCACTATACAAATCCTTTGACAGGTGGAGGCTTTTCAAAAACTATATTCCATTATTTGAGGGTATGAGGCAAAGCACCCCTGGCCTCCCTCCCCTCAAGGGTTAATGTGAACAGTAGTGTGGCTCATCTATTCTGCAGGTGTTACTAAATAGCCTCGGGGCCTACACACCTCTTATCATCTTCAAGGCCAAAGTAGTTAACTTCTCATGAGAACCTGTGGTCTGTGAGATTGGGGGCGGGGGGAGAGCCAGAGAGGTGATGAGGTAACTTTCTAGAGGTTTCTCCTGGAGAAACATCCTGATTGGATGTCATCCTCGCCTGATGTGTGGGGCCCAAAAACTATAATTAAGGCCCTGAGGGACTAGCTCGGATGTCAATGGACTAGAGGCCTAAACTATGACACGCAGTTGCTAGCAATGTAGAGAACGCCTGAGCTTTGGCCTTTGACTCTGGAACTTAAGGTTGGTGCCGTCTAACACATGTTCTGAAGAGTGTTAGACAGTTGAGCTAGCTTTCTTATTTTCTTGCTGTGTGATCGAAGAGTTGCATGTAGAGTAATTCTTTATTTGATTAGAACTCAATAAACTCCATAAACTATTTTTAAAAATTAAATAACGGTCTGCTTACTTGTGTGTACCTGCCCAGGGGACTCATGAGGTTTAGCCTTGAACTCGAGGAAGGGGATGCTAGAAGGGGGAAAATCCCCACTCACACGCGCTATGCAGGAACCCTATGCACACAGATCCCTTCAAATCCCAGCTCACTACAACTAAACAAACAAAGCTGTACTAAAAGTACTCAGTCCGCAAAAAAA